TTTGTGAGGCCAAGGTGGGCGTATCACAAGGTCAAGAGGTCGAGACCATCCTGGCCAATGTGTGAAACTCCGTCTCTACTAAAAATACAAAAATTATCTGGGCGTGGTGGCATGTGCCTGTAGTCCCAGCTACTCAGGAGGCTGAGGCAGGAGAATCACTTGAATCCAGGAGACACAGGTTGCAGTAAGCCGAGATCGCGCCACTATACTCCAGCCTGGTGACAAAGCAAGACTCCGTCTCAAAAAAAAAAAAAAATTGTCTCTGGAAGGATGCACAGGGAGCATTACTCTGGTTTCTTCCAAGAGGGAAATGAGGAACTAGAGAGCATGGCTAAGTGGGGTTTTGCTTTCGTTTTTGTTTGTCTGTTAGCTTTTCATTATTTTCTTTTGCAGGTTTGAATTTCAAACCATGTGAATCTGTTACATGCTCATAATAATAAGTTTAAAATAAAACTTTTGGCTGGGTGCAGTGACTTACACCTGTAATCCCAGAGCTTTGGGAGGCTGAGGTGGGGGATACTTGAGGCCAGGTGTTTGAGATCAGCCTGGGCAACACAGTGAGACCCTGTCTCTGTAGAAATAAACAAATAAAAATTAGCCAGATATGGTGGTGCATGCTTCTACTCCTAGCTACTTGGGAGGCTGAGGCAGGAGGATCTCTTGAGTCCAGGAGTTTGAGGCTGCAGTGAGCTATAATTGCTCTCTGCACTCTATAATACTGCACTCTAGCCTGTGCAATGAGGTGAGACCTTGTCTTTAAAAAAAAAAGTTAAACAAATAAATATGTAATATTTATTTGTCTCAAAATATGTAATATTCAGTACCAAAGAATTCTGAATTGTAGAGCTAAAAGTACTTAAAAGATATTTAATAACTATTATCTCATTTAGAAGAATTTTTATCAAAGTATAAGTTGTATCCAGAAAATTATTCATATCAGCAAGCTAAGTTTTCTCAAAATGTCATATCCATATAATTAGCTCCCAGATAACTAGCAGGTAGCCTCTACTCAGGTTGAGTATTCCTAATCTAAAAATTAGAAATTTGAAATTCTCCAAAATCTGCAACTTTTTGAATGCTGACGTGATTCTCAAAGGAATGTGCATGGAGTATTTCAGATTTTGGATTTTCGGATTTGAGATACTTAGTATAATGCAAACATTGCAAATTGGAAAAGATCTGAAATACTTCCAGTTCCAAGCATTTTTGATAAGGGATCTTCAACCTGTGTTAGCTAGTAAGACCCTTTATTGTCTCTTTTAGACTTCAGCTCCTTCAAGGTAACCTCTATATTGACTTCTAATAGCATGAACTTTTTCTGTTTTAGAATAATTTTAATTTTCAGGGAGTTGCAAAGATAGTACAAAGACAGTACAGGAGAGTTCCCTATCTTTCACCTAGCCTTTCCCCCATTGTTAGCATTTTACATTACTATGATACGTTTGTCAAAAATAAGAAACTCACATTGATACATGAAACTCTATTAACCAACCCTAGACTTTATGTGACTTTCACCACTTTTTCTACTAATGTTTTCTTTCTATTCCAGGGTCCAATCTGGAATACCCTACTGCATTTAGTTGTCATATCTCCCTAGTCTTTTTTGGTCTGTGACAATGTCTCAGTCTTTTATTGCTTTTCATGGCCTTAACAGTCCTGAAGATCTTTTGATTTTTTTTCATAATTAGACTGGAGTTATACATTTTTTGAAATAATACAAGAGTAAAAGGTCCTTCTTGTCACATTATTTTAGGGAGTACATGATATCCAGATGACATCATTGATATTAACCTTCATCACTTGGTTTAGGTAATGTTCACCAGTTTTCTCTACTGCAAACGTACTTTTTTTCCTTGCTTTAGCCCACCCTTAATACTTTTGTTTTCTTCCATGAATAACACTTTTGTTATTATAGCTAAAACTTCATTGCCAAATATTAGGTCGTGTAAATTTTCTTCTATATTTTATTCTAAAAGCTTGACAGTTTGATATATTATATCTAGCCCTTTGATTTACTTTTAGTTACTTTTATATAAAGTGTGAGAGATGTCTCCAGGTACATTTATTAACACATTGTGGTGTTCCAATACTATTTGTTGCTAAGACTATCTTTTCTCCATTGATTACCTTTGCCTTAGTTGACAATATTTTTGTTGGTTTATTTCTAGACTCTCTCATTCCACTTATTTGTGTCTATCCTTTTGCCAATATCATACTGTGTTGATTACAGTAAGCTTTGAAATTGATCATTTTATGTGTCAACTTGACTGGGTCAAGGGATGACCAGCTATCTGGCTAAACATTATTTCTGGCTGTGTTTGTGAGGGTGTTTTTGGATGAGATTAGCATTTCAATAGGTGGTCCTAGTAAAGTAGCCTGCCTTTCCCAATGTGGATGGCATTATGCCACCTGATATTCAGGGCCTGAATAGAAGAAAAGGCAGAGGAAGGGAGAATTGGGACTTTGTATTTTCTGCCTCACTGCATAAGCTGAGACATCTCATCTGATCTTCTCCTGCCTTTGGACTGGGATTTACATCATTACTTCCTCTGGTTCTCAGGGCCTTCAGACTCAGACTGAATCACACCACCAACTTTCCTGGGTCTCCAGCTTGCAAATGACAGATCATGGGACTCCTCAGCTTCCATAAATGTCTGAGCCAATTCAATCTATGTCCTTGAGAACTGCCCCAGTGCAGATTAAGGCTTTTTTCCACTAGGTGAAATAAAGAAGTTTGTTAGGCAGATTTCCCTTCATCCAGTGCCCTCTCCTTTTTGTTACAACACATTGGCTACACTCAAGTGCAGGGATGGGGATGTGGGTATAGTCCTCTTGTTTGCTGAGAAGAGAACTTTTTGGAAAAGCTCCCAAAGTGTTTGATACAACATAAACAAGACGCGGTTTTTGCACATAATTCCACATTACATTTTTCCCAGAAAAAAAAAAAAAAGAATTTATAAGCATTATATAATTGTGCTAGCTGGAGTAATTCTTCCTGATTATCAAAGGTTAACAGAGTTATCCCTACACCAAGATGGCGGGGAGAAATACTTTTGGAACACAAGGAATTCTCTGGAGTCCTTACTACTCTCAAGCCCGGGTGAAAAAGTTAATGAAAAACTATAGTACCTTCACATAAGCAGGATCACTAATTACCAGGCTCATTTAGGAATCTGTCATACCAAGTAAAACATATGGGTAACTGAGGTGCTAACTGAAGGCAAATGGAGCATGGAATAAAAATGGTAAAGAATGTCATAAATACTGTCACGTATCCATTGGCAAAAGGACCTACAACGCCTTCAGGTATTTTCACACCTACTCTATTATATAAATGTGTGTGTGTGTGTGTGTGTGTGTGTGTGTGTGTGGTCTTTTATTTTTTCCTTTTTTCCTACTAAGATGTATTAATACTGATTAACAGTATAAGTTAAACTTACAGGGTAGATTATCAAAAAATGATTATGACCGAACTGTAAAGGACATTACTCAGAGATGGATACAGTAAATTTTAGATGTTTGAATTCTACTTGGGAGATACAGACAATAAAAAAGTAAAAACATATATAGTTTGCCAAATACTGATAAGTGCTATGGAAAAAATTAAAGAAGGAAAAAGGGACAGAGTGGGATTAGGTGTGGTAGCAGTGCTAACCTTAACTTTGGTGCTGAAATATGTCAGTATTCTGTTCAACGATCCACTGTCCTTTACATGGCCATATCCCCTGGGAAAAGTGGGCCACATTACTAGCTTCATGGGGTGAATTCTGACTGATTCACACCAGTCATGTGGTCCCTTTCCTGTAGCTGATTAGCTCAGGCAGCACCTGAGACTACGCCAAGTTTTGGCAAATGAGACATAAGAGGTAGTTTTCTGGAAAGACATTCCTTGATCTCCAAGAGAAATAGATTGTTTCTTCCTGCCTTTAACTTGTGTCTGCATGGACACCTGAAATTGACCAGCATGAGGGTAAATAAAACCTGCTGTGAAGGAGAGCAGAGGCAAGACTGGGGGCAGTGGAGCCAGAGCTCTGATCACCCTGCACTGGGACCTTTCTGCCTTTGATGTCCTGTTTGGGGAGATAAGAAATTTATACAGTGTTTACATTTGTTGAGTCAGGGTTTTTTTTTACTTGAAGCAATAAACATGCTGCATGATTCAAAAAGTTGGTCAGAACTTTAAAAAATTATATTCTACATTTTCCTACAAGTTTTCCTGAGGAAAGACAGTGCTTGGTGCTCTTGGTCACCTAAGACAATGGTTAAAGATAGGCATGGCTAGTCTTACTGAAGAGGAAATTGGAGGCACATCAAAGCACCCCTGACTTCATTTTCATAGGCCTACTTCTCCTATATTTGCCTTTGCTGGATGAATCTATTTGATGGGAGTGAGATGGGTCCTTCCCCTTCAGGTCTTCCTTATTATTATCCTGTAATTTTTCTAAAATTGATCACTTTCCACCCTGGAAGGTGGCCATGGGGCTGAGGTGGGTTTTGGAGAAATGCTGACACTGTTGTCTGATGTTAAGTCTCACCTGATGAGGGATCAAGATCTCCTTTCACATAAATTGGGAAGGCAGATTTTGGTCCCATTAGATCTGTTAGCTGACATTTAGCATTCAAAACTGTCTTGTGATTCACAGAAGTGCTGTAAGATATTATGCAGAATTTTAGCACAACATTCGACCATTCAATCAGATTTTTCTAAAGACTTTTGTAGGTAAAAACAGAGTCTATCTCTAATTTATGTATTAAGTGTGAACCCCTATCTGTCTTCCTCTCGAAATGGTGGAGTCTAAAATCCAGTGGGCTTGGCCAAGCAAGGCAGATGTCTGTGTATGTATGGGGGAAGGATATTTAGTGACAGTTGCCTGGAGTGGAGTGAAGAAACTTAAGTAGAGTGAGAGAGAGGCAACTGTGGAGACCCAGTAAGAGTACTGCAGCCTGAATAGGGTGAAGAAGCTGTCTTCAAAAGGGGACAAGAGGACAGCCCTGTGTTAATGTTGGAGCCTGACTGGAGTAAAGAGATTGTCCATGTGACAGATAGGCCCATAGCACAGGCACTGGCACTTAAGCAGGATGAGGAGAACATCCACCTAGAGGTGGTAGCTACAAGATGATGTCATACACAATCAAGATTGCTCCAATAATTAATATAACAAGGATTATTAGCATTGGCCAGAAATGTGATTGATAAACTGCGGCCATCAATTATTAAATAGCATAAAAATATCTTAGGGAGACAGGAGGCAAAAACTCAGGACTCCACATACATAAACCTGTCCTTAACATACTACAGAGAATAATGATAGGCCAAGAAATATTTTATTGCCCACTGGGTTTGAAGTCTCAGATCCCCAAATTGTTCCTGAGCGAAGTTAGATGAATTATAGGAAGAGCTCCTTATTCGTAGGCCAGAGTTGGCCTTGAGAGGGAGTAGAATTGGTTTAACGATTCCACTCCAGACTTTTCTAGGATTTTTCAGTTCTTCCTGCTCTCCATGCCCTCTTATCACGGTTGCCTGGCTGGAAAAATAACATGTGGCGAGAGAGATGCCTTGCCTTTTTCCTAGAAATCCAGACTCAGTTCTCAAGTCACTGAGCTTCTGTTGGTGCAGATAATTGCAATGACACTTCCACGTGCATGTGGTGAGGACATTTATTGGATCAGCTGCTCAGAGCACTCCTCCAAAGCGGCACCTCGCTTTTTCAAATTTGGGGCCTGAGGTGAACACTTCCCCAGAGGTATTTATAACAATGCTGAAGTTGTAGGGGTGATATTCCTTCAGAGGCTGACAAAGAGAAGCTTGGAGGTATATTACATTTTGGATTCCAGTTCCTACATAACTATAAAATAAATTCTGCATTGTTAGAGTAAATCAATATAATTGAAATTAAACGTGGTTCAGATCAAAGAGTAAGCTCATGAGTTTGTTAAACCATTAAACCACTACGTACAGTACTTGCAAATGCAGGAAATGAACAAGACGTGCAGTCTATGTATTCCAGTTGATTGTTGTTTTGATAAGCAATTCACAGGCAGTAGATTAACAGGCAGGAAAATATAGTACTTAATATGGCTACATCACTTATTTTGGAAACCTAGATGGCTCTTCAAAAATCTTTTCCAACTGAAATTACTGATATTCATATTATTCAAAAATGACAACTCCTGTGCCATCTGAGATTTGTTGATGCAGCCTTTCTAAAAATAGTTCTTAGAATAAAATATGAATACTTACCTTGACACTTCACTATTGACACTGTCCGGATAGCCTATTTAAATGTATGCTTTCAGAATGTTGCCAAATACCTTGCTTTCAACACCTCACTCACTTTCAACACCTCATTCCTCACCCATGAACCCACCTGCTCTAATTTCTCCGACAAAACAACAGAAATTACAGCAGGTGGGGTCATGAGTGAGGAAATCACTCACTTCTAATGATCATTTAGTTGCTAGGGGTTAAAAATGCCTCTAATGTTGCTCTAGAGAGTTCCTCCAAATCACTAACACCTACTCTACAAGCTTTGGGGCTGCTGCTTTAGACATTTGGTCAATAGGTGGTGTGATTATAACAAGACTGCCACTAACTAGACAAAGGAAGTTCTATAACACTGTCAATTTTGCCCATGGATTTCAACAATCCATGGGCAAAAATGTGATACAATACATGACTTAGAATCCATTGCATATTGGTATTTTAGGGCATCCTCTTAAATGCATCCCAGATTTTCACACAAATTGTACTACAGTAGAGAAACATATTTGTTCACATATACTTCAAAGAAACAAACAAACAAAAAAACCTTTGAAATATTTTTATGATTTCGACTGTATTATATTTGCAGTAATATCAAGCTAAAGTTCTTGAAGCTGATTTTCTCAGAAAACAGGTGGAAGCCATTGATGAGAAAAGCGTATTATTAATATTGTTTCTCTATTCTTTGACTACAGAACAAATTGAGGAAGGTGCTAGAATAAAGGAAGTAGAAATGGGCATATAGACAAGTCAGTTTTGTAAGAACAAAAGGAAAATAAGGCTCATATCTAGAGAATCAATGGAGAAACTAGTGTACATACTTATTAAATCAATGCATGTAAGAGAAGCAGAGATTAATTGATTGAATGATTATTTGATAATGTGAGATTTTTAAAAGGTAACTGAAAGAAATACTACCTTTTGCTGTAAAGAATAAATCACGTGTGTTAAATGTGAGATTATTAACATAAATAAAATGTATAAAATATGTGCCACAGAGAAGGGTTTTAGAAACTTTTCTGACAATATCACCCAATAAAAAATATAGTATTATAGTGTAACAGGACATATTCAGAAACACAAACACATATAAATGAAATAGAATATTTACCAGTTACTTTAATTTCAGAGCAAAATACACTCTGAAATTTTAAATTTTATTGAATAAGGCCTTGATTTATCCTATTATATATCTCATTTAAAAATATATATATTGTTCATATCCATTCAAATTGATTTCACTAGTGTGTCAAGATTAGTACTCTGGAAAACTTTGGTTTTATGGTAATAGCTAGTCAGAGCCCTCCAAGTTACCAAAGGTCCCTACAAGCTTGGCCCATGGGAGAACTCTACCTCTATCAGCTGGGGCAATACGTTCACGAATTAGGGAAGTGACCACAAATGAGCCAATAAGAGTTTTTGCTGAGACTCTCTGATCTGGAAGCAGAACCCAAACACCTCTTCTTCTCTTATAGCAAAGACAGAAGGATGAGACACCAGACTTCCAGGTAAGGGCCTTTTCTCTCTTAGAAAAGATTAACTGAAGGAAAGTGATGGGCAAGAAAACAGCAGATATTAGAGCAAATGGTGTCATAGATGAGGAAAGAGAAAGCAAATAAAAGAAAGGAGAGAGAATGAGAGGGAGAGGAGGGAACAAAGAAGGGAGATGGAAGGAAAGGGGGAGGAAGAGAATGGGATTAAAGTCTTGAATTCTATACGTTGAGATGGAGCTCTTCTTGCTCAATCCATTGTTCTTTCTATTCAGTGAGCTCCCTTACTCCAGTTGCTTTCTTTGCTGAAGTTGGCTCAATGTGGCTTTCTGCCTGAGGGATCATATATGCCTGACATAGGTAATCCACAACCTTTAACTTGATACAATGAAAACCCCAATCCCAGCATGACAGCCAATAAAATAAACTTGGTCCTTCGTCCCGACCCATCATCCCTTTTCTCTTTATGAAGAAGTCAACTTTGTTCTTAATCTTAGTTTGTCATTAGGGAATATATAAAGAATAAGGGAGATGTAAAGAGGAAGCTTGAAATCCAGTTAAAGAATGGATTTTTGCTCTTTGTCCAAAGAACAAAAACAATTAAAAACCAGTCTATGGTTGCTCTAGTTTGAATGATTGTGTTCCCTTCAAAATTCATGTTAAACATAATCCTTTTGTTGGTGGTACTGAGAAGTTGGATCTTTTGGGAAATGATTAGGTAATGAGGACTCCAACCACATAAAAGGAATTAGGTGTCCTAACAAAAAAGTTTGAGAGTGAATTTGGCCCTCTTGCCCTTCCATGTAAGGTCATAGTGTTTTTTTCCCTTTGGAGAATGCAGCAACAAAGCACTATCTTGGAAGTGGAGACCTAGCCTTTACCAGACACCAATCCTGCCAGCACCTTGATCTTAGACTACCAGCGTCCAGAAATGTGATAAATACATTTCTTTCATTTATAAATTACACAGTCTGTGGTATTTTGTTACAGCAGCATGAAATGGTCTAAGACTATGGTTAAAGACAGGCATGGCTAGTCTTACTGAAGAGGACATTGAGGCACATCAAAGCATTCCTGACTTCATCGTCATAGGCCAACTTCTATATTTGCTTTTGCTGCTATGAATCTATTTGAGGACGTTGAGATGGGTCCTTTCCCCTAAGATCTTCCTTATTATTATTCTATAATTTTTCTAAAATTGATTGTGACTGCACCCTTATAAAACAAGAGAGCGCTTGCTTTCTCTCTGTTTTTCTGCTTTCTGGCATGTGGGGATATAGGGAGAAGATGGCCATTTGTAAGTCAGGAAGTGGGTCCTCAGCAGACATTGGACCTCCTGGTACCTTGATCTTGGAGTTCTCACCCTCTGGAACTGTGAGAAATAAATTTCTATTGTTTAAGCCTAATTTTTCACGGCAGTCCAAATGACTAAGACAAACTGTCTAACATTTGGATTCATTGTCTCCTTCCTGGCTAAATATATAAAAATGCAGCAAGCTCGCCTAGCAGCTGCCCCTGTGGTACTGCTTAGAAACTACTTACCTGCTTGAAAGATTACTGTCCACCTGGAACGTCCTAGTGGAAAACCTGGAAAACCAAAATGATAAAATTTAGCAAAGCAGCCAAATACAATATTATAACATAAATATCAATAGCATTCATTCATAGAAAAGCAGTTAGAAAATATAATGTAACCGTCTCTTATTATATTTATATATAGATATATTGTTAGCAAGAAAAACAACTTAAGCTGCATAAAATGTGTAAAGCTCTATGAAGAAAATCATAAAGCTTTACAGAAGTACTTAAAGAGTTTGTATACCTCAAAGTATCTAGCTCCTGAAATGGCAAATCACAAGTCTATACAAATGTCTAACATCTACATTAATCTAAAAATTCAATGTAATTCTGATAGAGGTTTCTTCAGAAGTTGAAAAACAAAGTGTTTCCACAGTTCAATTGGAATCAAAGATAATTCCAAGACTTTCAAAGGACAGTTGTCCTACTGTGGCCAAAAATAGGTTAAAACTAAGACACAAGATGATGGCAGTTGAATCCAGAAAAAAATTAAATCCAACAATTATACAATATGTGTCTAACCTCAATAATTAGATAAATTCAGGCTACTCACACTAAAAGCAATGGGGCTGATATGGTTTTGCTGTGTCCCCACCCAAATCTCACCTTGAATTGTAATAATCCTCACATGTCAAAGGTGGGACCAGGTAGGGATAATTGAAACATGGGGGCCATTTCCCCCATGATTCATCTTGTTCTCATCGTAGTGTAGAAGTCTCATGAGATCCGATGTTTTTTAATAAATGGGAATTCCCCTGCACACACTCTTTTGCCTGCTGCCATGTAAGACATGTCTTTGCTTCTCCTTTGCCTCCTGCCATGATTATGAGGCCTGTCTAGTCATGCTGAACTGTGAGTCTGTTAAACCTCTTTCCTTTATAAATTACCCTGTCTCAGGTATGTCTTTATTAGCAGCATGAGAACGCACTAATATAGGGGGCTTCACTAAAAGTAAACTGAGACCACTTTTGGCAACATAGTAGGTTTTCTGAAACACAAACATACAAGCATATGCTATCCTTCATTAGGAAAAATCAGAAACAAAATAGACCTACTTTTTAAAATTTAAGATAGGAAAGAGAAAAGTTTTACTAAGTCAATTATATAGGATCCTGAACAATTCACAAAGAGGTAATACAAAGAGATATCCATCAGAAATATGAATACATTAAGAGGTAGCTATTAACGGAAAGTGTTGATGGCTGTGAACACAGCCTTTGTCTTATGCTCTTTGAATCCTCAACAGTAGCTTCTTTGGGTAGAATGGGTGTAATTGATAATGGCCTTAATGTCCTCAGAAGTAGCATACCTAGTCAAGTCCCTGAGTAGGAGCAGGTGCACAGATCATTAGCTCCCTCTGGAGGTGACAGTGCAGTACCTGTTACAGTGAGCCTACAGGGAGTCTTGTTCTACTGTGTGTTTGACGATATCCTTGATAAAATAGTTCTAATACATGTTGCCTTGGATGAAATGCCCATGTTGGAGCACACTTATTTGTTGTACAATAGATCTCCTGAACCTCACTTATTCCTCCTAACTAAAATTTTGTATACTTTGACCAACATTTTCCCAACCCATAGCGTTTGATAACCTCTGTTCTCCTGCTTCTATAAATTTGATATTCTTAGATTCCATATACAGTGAGATTATGCAGTGTTTGTCTTTCTGTGCCTGCCTTTTTTTTTTTTTTGCTTACCCTAATGTTCCTTAGATTCATCCATGTTTTCACAAATAGCATGACTTCCTTATTGTTAAAGGCTGAATAGTAGTGTGTTTCTTGAACAGAGAATACACGGTGACAGAATGGGTGTACCCAGTAGGTGGTTGAATCAAGGCCTTGAAAATACTGGGTGCTCCTATAACCTTAGGTGTACCCTGGATATTGAGTGTTTGCTATATATTTAGTATAACATAAGTATCTTGTGCCCAGGTGTCTTGTTTATGTCAGGCCTCATGAATGGAGGTATCTCTTGGTCCTCCCATTTCTTAACCTATGTGTGATCTACTTATTAATTTCCATGAACACATAACATATAACTCTCATACATCCCCATCCCATTCATGTTCTTTCCCTCTATAGAAGAAATAAATATTCTCATATTATACAAAAATACATATTACACATGGCTTTCTTGGAGCCCTTTCTAGAGATTGCAGAATGCTTCAAAACTTTAGGCATATCAAAATCTGTTTCTGGCTTCCTTGAAAAGATAACAATTGTCTACAGGTGACAAGGAAAATCCTGCAGATGCTTGTATTCAAAGGAAGTCTGAAAAAAAGTCTGATTGGATAAAAAATAACGGGAAAAGGCATGTAAAAGTATCTGCAGTTCTACTTTGCTTGGATGAGGCACCTTCCAGAGAAGTTAGCCATTAAGATCTGTGTGTGTGTGTGTGTGTGTGTGTGTGTGTGTGTGTGTGTGTGTTTAAGGGATATAGTCTTTATTCCTTCTGCTTTTGGTTTGGATGAGGTACCTTCCAAAGAAGTTAGCCATTAAGCTGTGGGTGTGGGTGTGGGGGGGGGGGCGTGTGTGTACAAATCCTTATTCGCCTCTGCTTTGAGTTTGGCATTAGAGGGCGCTATTTCGCAGGGGACATCTGGCTGTGGGAAGCAGGCTCGCGCTGAAATCCCAGACTTGGTCTTCCCTGACAGGGCTGCAGCACTATCTGCTCCGGAAGGACAACTACGCCGAGCGGGTCGGGGCGGGCGCGCCGGTCTACCTGGCGGCGGTCCTGGAGTACCTGACCGCCGAGATCCTGGAGCTGGCGGGCAACGCGGCCCGCGACAACAAGAAGACCCGCATCATCCCGCGCCTCCTGCAGCTGGCCATCCGCAACGACGAGGAGCTCAACAAGCTCCTAGGAAACGTCACCATCGCGCAGGGCGGCGTCCTGCCCAACATCCAGGCCGTGCTGCTGCCCAAGAAGACCGAGAGCCACCACAAGGCCAAGGGCAAGTCACGTCCCCAGGTAATAAAGCCCAGCAGAGCAGATGACCTAACTTTTCAACGGGAAAGAAAAAGTAAAACCAAAGGCCAGCCACGAGTTCAATAAAGTCTCTCCATTCCTTTCATTTATTACATTGATAGTCTCCACTTCGTTTTCTTTAGCAATATTATGTAAGATTGGTTTTCTGAAAGCTGAGTTTAGCACTGGATTTCCATGCAAGTTGTATTAGGTTGGTGCAAAAGTAATCGCGGCTTTTGCCATTACGTTTAACAGCAAAAACCACGATTATTTTTGCACCAACCTAATGATTTTGTGAAAGACAGTTTTATGTGGTATCCAAAAAAGCACTTATAAAGCAATTTCGTTCATGTAGGCTGTTTTATTTGCCTCAAGTTATAATGAATTTGTCAACCAATGATTAATTTCTTCAAGCCTAAGGGACAAGCTTTAATGCTTTTTATTTGGTATGTTAAGATTGTATTTAGCCTTTAGATATGTTAATATAGGGAGGTATGTATGTGCCACTTGGTTAAAGGTTTCACTCTGTGGGCTGTCAGGTTTCCCAAAAGGTCTCATTCTAGGATGGTCAGCCAGGCTGATATGAAAGAGGATTACAGGCCAAAGGAAGCTCCTACAACGGCCTCTGTCAGCCACATTTCTGCCAAAGTCCGACTCTGCAGAGTCCAGATCTGGAGAGTTCAGCAACATCTGTAACCTGTAGTTTTAGGGAGGGTACCCTAAACTTCATTTCTAGATAAGCCTGTCTCCAAAGCTTTGGTTTAGATTGATTTCCTTTTGCCTGATACTAACTCTAAGGGTAACAATCCTGTCTCTGAAATGGTGTTGCATCTTCCAGGAATGAACATTTGGCCCAATGTGATGGTTATGTGGTTTCATAAATATCGGTACATATGGCAGATGTAAGTCTAAACTTTACTTTTATTAAACCTAACTTTAGATCACCTTAAGCTTCTTTGATGGCTACCATTGTCTAACAACCTGAAGCTTATGTCAGTTCCCAGACTGGACTGTGGAATAGGGTTTGACCTAGAGTAAAGAAAGAAGTATGCATACAAAACATAACCTTTGACTTTAGAGTCCAGAGGAGAAATAGATGTATCTGCCCATTAAACCCACAGGGTAATGAAAAGCGGAGCAATTACATGGTTGAACAATTATTTTCTAGGCTGTCCTTTTTGAAAGGCCAAGCAAAAGCATTACATCTGGGAAGGAGAGGCATTATTAATAGAAATAAAATACATAAAATGTGCAGTAAAGAGACAATTTCAACCCTTTTGGAGTGCATCTGACCTAGAGTAAAAATGTACATTTTTACAGTGTGCTGCAATATTACTATATAGGCTTATTATGTAAACATATGTGTTGCAGAATCAAAAATTTTACAGAACAGCCCTGACTCTTACTAAGTGGAATGCACTCTGTTCTGTTCCATTCTACAGCCTCATCCATTGTGTTTAAAAAATCATGCTGGCTAAATTGATAAGAGGTGCTAATTGATAAGAGTAATGACTTGTAGGTTGAAAAACATTGGGGTGATGGGAATGACCAATCAGAGAACTTGGCACTGCACCTACAAGGCTGCAGCAATAAAGAACTCTGGGCTGGGCCAATAAGAGCCTTTCCTAGGTTTTGAGCACAGCTGCTTTTTCTTCTCTTTTATGGATGTGACAAAGGAGACTCCAAAACTGCCAACAGACTTGTCTGTTGCCTCTTGGAGAAGATTTAAGAGAAGGGAGGAAGTGCAAATAAACAGCTGAAATAAGAGCTGAAAAGGTCTTCATTTATTTTGGGGCAGAGATTTAATTCTAGTCCCTCTGGTCTCTGGAACTGTGTAGTTCCATCTGCTCATTCTTGTCTTCTGTGACCTACCTCTATCTCCATCTTTTTTTCTCTTTCTTTTTTTTCCAAAGCCATTTCAGTTGGATTTCTTTCACTTGTAAGCACAGGTGTCTGACAAATAGAAGCCACAACTAATTGAGTACAATAAAAACTAAACCTTGCAATGCAAAGGCCAATAAATAGGTTTGGCTCTTAATCCTCTCTTGTAACAGCACTGACATGGTCTTGCTCCTCATCTTGATTTAGCACCAAGAGAAAAATAAGGGTCTGAGTGGGAAAGAAAGGGATCGAAAGGAATTGAGCCAAATTAAGAGCTTTTGGTGTAAATCCTGGAAGCTAAGAAAAGCCACGTCAAGCCGCAACAAACTCCCCCTTCACAAAGGCAGCAGAAGGAAAAAATAAAATTAAAAAAGAAGAGAATAAGAGAGTTTAAAAAAAAAAGGGGGGGAGTAGAAGTGTAATGCAGTATGTGAACTATGCCAGCTATGGTTGGGAAAAGTAATTTTCATACATCATTATCTANAGAGAGAAATTACCTTTTTCATTTTTCTCCAAGTTAATATTTGCAGTCTAGCTACACTTTAAGTGATTGATGTGGTCACTAGGGGCCAATAAACAAAAATGTTTCAGATAAGAACGTGGAGCCCCAGATTCAAAATGCCGGCACCTCACACACCCATCCCAGCAGCACAACCAACATTCACCCTCATTTGCTAAGACAAGTTCTTGGAATCAGGAACTTCATTAACCTGCACTTCAGTGGTAAATAACATTTAAGTTTTGGAAATATACTCTTCTATTTGGCAATTCAACACCATCACTTGTAACAAAAACCACCAGACAAGTGCAACTCCACATCCTCAAGACAGAGCACCAAACAGACAAACTAGAACCCCTCTCCAAACTAGAAGAATATTAGTATAAATATTTAACATAAATAAATGAAGAATATCATAAACATATGCTGGCATACTTAAAACAAAAATTAGATGTGTGAAAAAGAAGGTTTTCTTAAAAATGGCAAATATTCCTAGAATTAGGGAAGGAGGAAAGAAAGAAGAAAGGAAGGGAAGAAGGAAAGAATGAGAAAGGAATGAAGTAAGGAAGAAGGGAGAAAAGGAGAGGAGGGAGAGGGAAGGAGGAGGGAAGGAAGGAGGAGGGAAGGAAGGAGGGAGAGAAGGAAGGAGGGAAGGGAGGGAGAGAGGGAAAGAAGAAGGGAGGGGTAGGGAAGGGGAGGGGAAGGGAAGGGAAGGGAGGGGAGGAGAGGGGAGGGAAGGGTCTCAGGAACTTGGAAGCAAATTGATATCGCTCAAATTCACGGTAATGCCAAGACAGAAAAAGAAGAACAATGAGAGGGAAATTTTACAGGAAATTGATGTTGAAAGTTGGTTTCAATGTTTGCCTAATAGATGGAATAGTCTGGAGGGTAGGAGAATGGACACAACAGCCAGACTTTCTGGGTGGTTGGATTGCTGACTCCATTGCTTACTAGCAAGTTACTTAGCCTCTCTGTAAACTGTCATAATAATAGTACCTACTATAGAAGTTTGCTGTGAGAAGTAAAGGTGCTATTATATGTAAAGTGCTTAAAACAGTGCCCAGCACATATTTCATGTTAAATAGGCCTTATTAAAAGAAGTCTCTGAAAAGGGGATGAGGGGTAAAGTAGAATGATTACAAAGAAAGAGATAACCACAATCTTTATTTCAGGATATATTTAGTAAATTAAATTATATGGAAAGTTGTGTTGGAATCTTGGTTGAAATGGCATATGGATTAGTCTGGAGAGACTTGAGATTTCTACATTTTTGAATGTTCCTGTTCATAAAAAATGTTATGTCTCTTTATTTAGTTCAACTTTAATACCTTAAAGTTTTACAATTTTCTATATAATAATCTTCCACATTTTTTGTTAGATTTATTCCTAAATTTTATATCCTTTTGTTGCTGTTACATTCTTTTATTGCCATTGTGAATTGTATCTCTTTTTATAATATCATTTTTGTTTGTTTGTTTTGGGCTGGTAATTAAAATGCAATTGGTCTTTGAATATCACTTTTCCATCTGTTAAACTTGCTAAACTCACATTAATTGTAGTAATTTATGTACAGTTGTTTTTTTAATGTAGACAATCATATCATGTTAATAAGTATAGTTTTACTTGTTTTCTAATTGCTTCACATTTCTTTCTTGTGTTATTGTGCTAGTTACCCATTCTGATGAATAGATGTAGCAAACACCTCTTTTATGTATCCAATTGTAACAGGAAGATTCACCTTTGGAATATTTGCTGTAGGTTTTACAGATGCTGTTTTATTAAATACAGGGAATTTTATGTTATTCACTGTTTGCAGGGAATGCTTTCCCTTTACATTTTTTTTTTTGAATGCATATAGTATTTGCAAAACATCAATATTTTTTGACTGATGACTGCCTCCAACTTTTAAAATTAATTATATTTGATTATTTTGAATGAATTTGATTTTTAATTGCTTTATTTCAGTCATGAATATTACTCATGACATTTAGAGATGTTAATAGAAATAATAATGATGATAATTATGATAGATAACCTTCATTTATTGATTTTCTGTTTTATGCAAAGTATGGTGGGTGGTTTCATTTTGCTGCATGATTTATTCCTAATTTTTTTCAATCATCTCCAAGTGAGACTCAACAAAGTAATATACATTTGCTCCAAGTTCTAGGTAGTAAGTGAAGTTATCTTGATATGAATTCAGCATGGTATAATTATATAACTTGTGCTGGCTAAAGAATGCAACACTTAAAAAAATAAAAAATAAATAAAAAGAATGCAACACTTTCTCACTTGAGAGTTATGACATCCTTTATGCTCTACAGATATCAACTTCATGTTTTTTACTATTCTATCCGAAAACACACAACACCTCAGCCCAAAAGCACTCCTGATTTTCTTTTGTGTATTCTCCTAAAGATTGTATTTGTCACACTTATTCTTTTTTCTTTTCCATAGCCATTATCCTCAATATATGATTTTGCAGTTTTAGCTGTGCATTCCTGATACTATAGTTGCTGAAAGAAATGGTATTGAAACTGGAAAGTAGAGTAGAAAGCAGACATGTCTAAGGAAAAAAGTAAGATGTGCTTTCAGTATGACAATCTAAGACGTAAGTGAATGC